CTAAGACTAAAGATGGGCTGGCACCTTATAAATCTATGTGCCTCCTAAGGTTCACCCTAGAGGGTGAAACATTACAGACCTAGAACTGAAGGGTAGCACTTCTCCATTCCATGGCTTCCTTTTAGTGCTATTAAGCAGATGCGAAAGAGCACACTGTGACACTGTACTTTTGGGCTCAAAATAAAGTGGTCTCATATAAAACAGCTATGATCAAAACTTTGAAATCTACTACAAAGTACAACATACTAAAAGATATGCTATGTAATCCCATAAAGGGAACTGACGTGATGTTTGTCTGCTGGGAAAGGACAAACTGACTGCAGACAAATGGAGGAGGTAGCAAAATGTTACAAAGAACAAGTGTCTTATAACCAGTTTTTTCTTCCAGTAATGTTTGACTACTTTACAACTGAAAGTAATGAACATTTTTGCAGTCTTTAATCTTTAAAGTTACTTTCACAATTGCAGAAATGTGTCCTTTCCAAGAAGTGAAGAAGGACAATCACACTGTTCAAATACTGCCGGTTCGTGCTATGGCAGTGAAAAGAAGGGCAGTGAAAAGAAGGTGAGAGGGAAATATATTTTTTACTGTAGACCAACAACTTGTGGTATTCCAATGTTCAATAGTTGTCTTTGACAAAGAAAATGTAAAAGATTGCATTTTTTAAGATTAATATGTTTTTTATTTTTGATTTACATAAAAAAGTGAAACAAATCTATATACATGTATATATGCTCAACCTTTTTACAATATTCATGTTTGGTTAGGCTCTCCTCTCCTCCCAATTTAGTGACTTCCCGTCCCTTGGACTGGAAACATTCATATATAATTCTGTTCTTTCTTCCTATTACATTGTTTTTCTATTCTTTCTTTTGGCCAAATATTTATTATTTATAAATTCCCTACAGAAATTCTAACAGGTTAAGTTTGACACCTTCTATAAAAACTCCTTTTTTTATATACATAGTTTAGAAATGGTTCCCAGTCTTTGATAAAGGTTTTTTGTGTTTTTATTTGTTCATCATTGCTAATTTGTTCATTTCTGGTATTTCAAAGACTTTAACTATCCATTCTTCTATTGTTGTTCTGAATTCTTCCAGAAGTGTGCGTATACTGTTCTTGCTGCTATGATCATGTAGCACACATATACTTTATAGATTAGTGATTCTGTTTGGTTATTTGACATTCCCAATAAAAAATAATTTGGGCTCCAATTGTATCTTTTAATGAAAATATCTTGCAGTGTTTTTTTTTTATCTTGCTCCAGAATTCTCTTGCATTTTTACAGGTCCACCACATGTGGAAGAAAGTTCCTTCCTGTTCTTTACATTTCCAGCATTTGTTGTTTCTTCTATTATACATTTAAGCTAGTTCCGCTGGGGTCAGGTACAACCTGTTCATCATTTTATAATTTTTTTCTCTAAGATCGTAGCATCAAATTTTCTTTAAGCCAATAGTCCGTATTTTTTCCGTTTATCTAGTTCTATGTTGTATCTGGCATTATGTGCCCATTTAATCATACAATCCTTTATCAGTTCTGTTCCCATTTCCATCTTCTGTAATACTTTATATATTTTTCCAATAAGGTGTTCTTCATTAGCACAGTCCCTTTTCAAATTCCGATTGGTTTCTTTTGAATCCTATATTTTTACTGTCTAGTGCAAATCTTTCTTTCAATTGTCTATATCGGTGCCACTATAGGTGAAGTCCTGCATCCTTCAGTTCTTTTTTAGTTTCACATCTGTATTTTTCATGTATTATTACATCTCTACATATAATCTAGTGTTCGCCTTTCTTCTTATCTAACTTGTAAAAAGCTTCATCCATTTAAATAGATAGTAGGGTTTTTGGACATAGTTAAATTTTGTACTTGTTCGAAATCCTTAGTATGGCTCGCCTTATAAAATGGTGATTAAAATCTGCGTGTACTTTTGCTTTTTGATATCATATATATGGCATGCCTTCCAAAACCTAAATCATGCCTTTCTAATTTTAATGGTCTCTCATTTCTTAAGGTTAGCCAATCTTTCATCCAAATTAGCATTCTTCAAAGTACAATTTCAGGTCTAGAAACCCCAATCATCCCCTTTGCTTTCATCCTGCATAATCTCGGTTTGAATTCTAGGCCTCTTGCCTTGCCATATGTATTTGGTTAAGTCTTTTTTCCATTGTTGAAAAGGTGCGTTGTTTATTACAACTGGAATGTTTTGAAAAAGAAATTGGTAGTATATTCATTTTGATAGCAGATATTCTTCCCAATAATACAACTTTAATGTGCTCCATGTTTGTAAATCCGATTTTATTTCTTTCCATGTATTTTCATAATTGTCTTGAAATAGTGTTGTATTCTTATTTGAGAATATTATTACTAATTATTTTACTTTTTTCAATTTTTAAACTGATATTTTTTTTAGCTTTTGCTTCTCTTCTTCTGTTAAATGTTGCGTAAGGACTTTGGTTTTTTGTTTATTTTAAAACCTGCTATTTTTCCAAGTTCTTCTATTGTATGTAGTAAATTTTCTATGTTTTCTGTTGGGTCTTCTATTATAACCACTAGGACATCTCCAAATGCTCTCAGTTGGAATGTTTCATTCTTAATTTTCAGCCCTTTGATTTTTTTTCCCTTCCTCTCTTATCTTCATATTCCATAATAACACTTCAAATGCCAAGATGAATAGCAACAGTGACAGTGGGCATCCTTGCCTTATGCTCTTTTGTATTTTAATTTCTTTAGAAGATTATCAATTCACTAACATTTTGGAGGTTTGTGTTCTGTAAATTGCTCTAATCCATTTTGTTATGTTCCAAATTCCATTTTTTCGAGAGTTGCAAATAATTATCAAATGCCTTTTCTGTGTCTATGAACACTAGTGCTGCTTTTCTTTCATTATGTTTCTCCAGGTATTCAATCGTATCCAAAATCACTTTCAGATTGTCCTGAATATGTCTTCTAGGAAGAAAGGCTGCCTGATCTTCTATGAATTTGAATCTTTCTGCTAGAATTGTTGAAAATATTTTGTAATAGTTAGTTAAATGGAATATTGGTCTATAGTTACTTGGATCTGTCAATTCTTGTCCTTTCGGTATAAGCGTAACAATTGTCATTTCCCATGTGTCCAGAATTTTAACTGCTCCAAGAATTGAGTTAGATAACTCCTGCATTGGCCTTATTAATTCATTTTTAAATTTCTTATAATAAATAACTGAGAATCCATCTGGTCCTGGGAATTTATTTGCTTTTGCTATTTCTTTAGTAATTTCTTCAATTGTAATTTGTTTATTTAGATATTCTTTTTGTTCATTTGTCAATTTTGGAAGTTTACTCTACATTAGATAATAGTCAATCTTTTCATGTTGAATCTGGTTTCTCGTAAAAGGTTACATTTTAATGTGCTATCTTTAAAGTAACTACACGGAGTGGATTAGTAACTGCAATCAATTACTTTTAATAATTTACAAGCCCTGCTGGGTTAGGGAAGAAGCTAAAAGAGGGTATTAGAGAATTCCCTGTATTACAGAAGGGAGAGGATGAAAGCTTCTCTGTCTTAGAAGGGCTTTGGTGCCCTCCTCAGGCAGACACAGAGGACAGCTAAGAAAGGGAGTACTTGCTGTCCTGTACTACTGGTCACTATAGTGATAATCAAAGTGCTAATAACAGGTTTAGCTCTCTACTGACCTAAGTAACCCTGGATACAAAGCAGGGTCATCCTGGGAGACCAAGAGCATGCAACGTACCAGATACTATAAGCTATATTTCTGAGGAAGGAACTGCCAAAGTAATCTCTTTGTATTCCTTGACTATGCAAAGCCTTTGATATTCATAGGGTCACCATAAGCCGACAGGCAACTCAAAGGTACAGATATCTTCCTCCTAAGTAAAGCTTCTCTGAGAAGGACAGGTAAGGACAAATACACACACCAGCCAGTCAAAGTACCACGGTTTCTACAGCAAATAAATCTTCTTTCTGTAATACCTATTGTTGGAGGAAGATCCCCAACAAAGGCATATGTATCATTTCCACACTTCTAATAGAAGCTTTGAATCTAGTCTTTCTCCCTTCCCTTTGATAATCCTCACCAGTGTGGTATGCGTACTTTTTCAAATAATGGCCAGAAGAGTAGGCAGAGCAGAGATTTTTTTTGACAAAAAATGTGCCCAAATCCTATTAGGGAAATATGCTGGCATAACCTCTAATTATTCCAGCATGGGTTCTTTTTTTTTTTGGGGGGGGGGGTGCCACAAAGATAACCTGAAACCCCTGGTATACTGGCCCCACTTCTCCATACCTGCAACCCAACCTAAAAATTTTGGGGACTCTCCCAGGCCAATTGGTATCCAAGGGGAGAAGGAGCTTCCAGGTACAACCTGGCGGTATTTGTGAGGTTCCAGAAGGAAACCCATTGTTTTCCTGCACCCCTGGGGCAACTCTATCCTTTGATGATGTCACTCTTTGCCAATGAACCTTGTGGCTTCAAAAACTGATTAATTTCCACAGTATCTCTATTAAAATTGAGCTGCTTAAATCTGACTTTTATCATTATCATCATTAAGAGACATTTTCTTTACGGATTCCTATACTAACAAAGATGAAATGAGAGATGAACTAAAGCTTTTTGAAACTTGCACCTTCTTCTGGTTTAAATAGCATATCTCCCAAAGGATGTCACTGACTATGCACTTCCAACTTTTGTAGAGTAAACTCAGTTCCTGATACTCAATTGGATACTAGCCTGTTTCCATGAAAATTCAAAGTGCTGGTTGTGAACTATAGATCACAGTCATATAGGGTTTTATGAAACCCTATATGGCTGAGGCAATTAGCTTTAACATATTACTGCTCCGTTTTCAACTGTTTTTTCTTCTTCTATGTTTGAACTATCTTGTTTTTGTTGTCATTTGTAGTGAACTTGAGTTCTTCTTTTGGGGATAGATATCCATAAAATTCACAATAGCATCATATCAACATATTCCCAACATTATTTTGCCTCCTCTCCTTACCATTCTGTTCCTCTAATTCATTCCCGATTTCCTGTCCCATTTGTTTTTGCCGTGATAGAATTGAAGAGAGAGCATCAAGGCCAGCATCTTGCTCTGCATTGAAACAAACAAACAAATGTAAACAAATTCAACCAATTAAAATACTTATGAACTGTTATGTGTTTATAGATCTGCAAACCATACATGCAAACCCTTAAACATCCGCATTCAAATTGTTAAGATGTACTGACCTGGGGGCACCTCAACAAAGGCAAGACAATGAATCCGAAATAGTCAGGGTAAATTACAGTGCTGAATAACTTCTGAAGTTAAGCCAAAATCCCAAACCTTTCAGGAACTGGATGTGCAGCTGGTCCTCAATAATAAAAGCATTGGTTTTTCTGACACACTCATACAGTCTCCTGATTAAGCCTTCTTGGTTTTCCAAGGAAGGTTTAACATGATTGAGAAACACAAAGGTGATGCAAGCACTAAGGAATCCAAAGAGTTTCTCAAGTTGCGTGCAAATGTAGCGTTCATAAGAGAGATAATCCAGCTCTTGGCAAAGAGTGCTACAGCAAGCCTAGCCACAATACAAGTCTCTTTCTTGCTTCACAGAATACTACTTATTGCAGAGTACAAGGGCATTACCACACCCTTGGTTCCCAAGTGGCACTGAATTACACATCAATTGTACACAAAAAAATTGGTACAGAACCTTTCTTAGCTAAAAATGCAGGGCTATTGATTATCTTCCCCAGAGTTATTAAAGCAGCTCATTTGGATAGAATTTACAAAATAAAAGGAAGGGGGGGAGAGAGATTTATAAATCTAAGAGGAAAGAATCATGTGCCAATTGCTGTTGAAGCAAAACAGACTGACTGATCACTCACTATGTATCCTTGCTGATGTCTTTTGCCACATAGTTATCACTCCCTAATAGCAGCAGCACAAATGACAGTTTGGAAATGCACCATGAGGTTTTTAGACAAGCTCTGAAGCAACATAAAATATTTATGGAGGAAGCTGGTTTTAAGACAGTAAGGATACAAATACATCCTTTCACATAAAATGACATGTCTTGTCACCACAGATGGTAACGAGATCATTTCCAGAATGTGAGGGAAACCTGAAGGCATTTTCCTAAATGAAAACACCTACTTTAAGGGAAAGGGTTTTTTTTTTAACCAGAGTTTTTTTTTCATATCAGAGACATAAAAGTGGGATCAGTTAAAGAGCACACAGTCTGATAAACAGTAGTAACACGAGAGAAGGGAAGGACCAGATAGAACCAGGGGCCTTATAATATGGCATAGAATAGCAGAAGTTGAGGCTTATATAAATTTTGGGTCACTAACCATATATTTCTGCCTCCCAGTGGCTTGACAACCCCATTTCCAAGTAAAAGCAAAAAGCAAAACTATGTTTGTTACGCCAAATTTTGCACTGTAGATCATAAGTTGTGAAGGCCTAGTTTAACAGACCAAGCGTCACCATTCCTGGATAAGTATACATTTCCGTTAAGAGAGAACAAGATGCAAAGCTTGAGAAAGTTACTTTTTGAGTTGTTTTTTGAGTCTCCAGGTTAGCATAACCACTGGCCTGAAGGATTATAGGCGCTATAGTCCAGAAAGTAACTTTCTTAATTTTTAACACACAGATCTAGGGGAGCAGTAAAAATTTGAAGAGTATGAACTTCAGGAAATAAACTCCACTGGAATCAAAACAAACATGTAACTAAAGCATCTTGAATAACCAGAAACAAAACAAGTTGAACCCATGAAAGGAAAGCATTCTGTGGCAATCTTCAAGAGTAAAATTAATTATAGCATAGACGTTAATAGCGACTGAATTGTTCCCAGAATTTCATGCAAGTGTACACACACAAAGAAATAAAGCTAGGTCAATGTTTTCCATAGGTTCAGAATGTGTCATGTGTATACATGAATGATGTACATTTTATGTATCTGATAGAGCTCAATGTCAGGGAATCATTACCATGCTATTTCAAAAGCAGAGAATCAGCATCATGCTATAATAAATTATCTTTATATCTTGATGCCACACAACATTGCAACAGACAAACATTGCTATTCCTTTGTGACATGTTTAGGGAAGAAATGGCTTAATGTTTTGTTTTTGTTTTTTAAATTCTAGAAACTTGCAGTCAACACTGGAAGTATGAGACATGAGGCTGTAGTAAAGGATGAATACTTACCTTCTATTATTCTTTTTTGCTGCTGTTGTATTTCATTAAAGCCAAGCCCCCTTGTTTCCTCAGACTCCTCCACAAGCCATGGATTTGTTATATTTTGCTTGACACCTCCTGCCATTAGGCTAGACCTAAAACATGTAAAAAGATAATTTTTACATGTTCAAAGAAGAAGGGAGCTAACCACCTAGGCTGGTTTTTGGAGTCTAGTGTATCTGAAAACCAGCAACCTCCAAAATCTCTGGAAGAATCAGACATCCAGGAAGACTCATAGCAAACAGAAAGCAACAGAATGCTTACTTCCAATCTTGCTAACTGAGAAGGTCGATTTTTACATTGTAAGTATAGATAGGGAAAAATGAAAAAGGTTGGGGTAATTAAGGGTGGATTCATGTATGCAAGAACTATAAGCTCACTTGAGTTCTCACACTCAAAACCCATTCTTGAATTCAGCCTTCTTGAATCCTATGCATATTTTTTTTGTACCCGGCTCTGACTCCTAGTGCTTACATCAGACCCCACCTGTGAGAAATCTGCTCAAGAGAGTGTTTAAGCAGTACATGAACACACAGCTTCAGAATGCCTTGAAACATATATTATTGTCAAAATAAGATAAGTCATCCTTTCATACAATCTTCTGACCTCACTCAGCTCTTCCTCAACCAACCATTTTTTCTTCAGCCTCAAATCAAAAGAATGAATATGTTATATACACCAATTAGTTGGAATAGACCAGTACATTTTTAGACTGACACAGATTATTCAGTCAAAAACATAACTATGTTAATCTGGAATATCAGTATAAAAAATGATCTTGTAGCCCCTTAGAAACCTAGAGACTAGATTTGAGGAAGTAGACTTGGTCTTCAAATGTTGTCACCAGTTCAATTCTTATAAGGCCCTACAAGACCCCCAGACTAATGACAAAGAGTTGATTTTGAAATTCATACAACAATAAACAAATCAAGCTTTAAAATGTCACAGTGCTGCTTTTCTTTTTTTAATCTGCAATAGACAGTAACTCTTTTGAAATCCTAACCATTTGGAAGTTCCCTTTACAAATTGACTACAAAAATTGAAGCTTTTTCCATTAGAGGAACCTGAACATTAATATCCAGGTATCACACAAAACAGGAAATATATATATTGAAGTCAAAATCATAATACAGAATGTTTAGGTAATCAGCTATTAACAAAGGCAGTCTTGGAATGACAGCAGTGTTCTGAAGGTCATTTCATTTCCTGTCTTATACAGATGAAAAGACTAATCCATATTATTGAAATTATTACAATGTGCACCAGGAGATAAACATAGAACAACTATGGCCCACAAAAATGCAAATTACAAATATTTTTGTAATGGAGGAAACTTCTAAAATAACCTCCCCAAGAAACATTGTCATAGCTGAATCCCATGCTCCAACATTTACATTTAGTATTTCTCAAATGAGATAAAGCTTTTTCTGTTTTAAAAACCAGGGAAGAGTTCAATATAAATATAAATAAGCACATTTACACACATAGCCCCAAGCATGGCTTTTAGTGTTAGCTGTGACAAGTATTTTAAAAAAATATTTTTGACATGTCTGGTAGCTCCCTTCCCATCCAACCAAACTCAACTTCCTCCTATGTCTGATCTTCCTCTGTTTCATTTTGGCAGTGTGAAGATTAAAGCTTATCCAATTAGCCACCCACAGCTTTTGCCAAGTTAATCACTTAAATCTTTGAAATCGTCACAGCACAGTGGAGTGTGCAGATAGCTTTTGATTATAGGAGCAGATTTAACTAATTAAAAGGCTTAGCAATGTGCCCAAATATAAAAGATATTGGGGGGTTATAATCAAGGGTTGTGCCTCTATTTAACAACCAGCAGCTTATCTTCCCAAATGCATTGTTTCACTGGTTCATTCCTATAACATTTCCCAAGTAACACAGATTAATCAACTAGACCTTTCCCTAGACTGTGGCCCACACATTAAGGCTTTCAAGCCCCAAAACAACCGGCAAGAACAATTCCTAAAACAAAACCTAGGTCATGTGACATCAGTTTCTGTAATTAACCACATTTTCACTTATGAGATATGACAATACAGTAATAACCTCTAAAGTGTTTTCACCACCTCAGTTTGATTCAAAAATTGTGATTAAATAAGATTAATCCACTTTGAAAACAACTGGCTATACTACAAGACACTTAAATACTTTGCATAGCCATATAATGCAGTGTTCCCATTTTATACTCCATTTTATAAACGTTTTTTCTGCCATTTTGAACACTCAGAACATATTCTGTCTACTGCTGCCTCCCAGTAGTTTAAAATAAAGTTTTCCAATATTTTGCTAGGAGAAGGAATGCAGTCTGGCAAAAAAATAGCATTTTGAGTAGGGGTGGTTGAAAGAGAAGAGTTGGGAAAGAAGAGGTTGAGTATCCCTTATCCAAAACACTTGGAACTAGAAGTGTTTCGGATTTCTTTTGGAATTTGAAATACCTTGATTTACATATATGTACATATTGAGACACCTTGGAGATGGAACCCAGGTCTAAACAAAAAATGCGTTTATATTTCATATGCCACATACACATATTCTGAAGGTAATCTTATGCATAGTATTTTCAATTTTGTGCATGAAATAAAGTTTGTGTACATTGCCCATGAGAAAGCAAAGGCATCACTATCTCAGCCACTTATGTAGACAATTTTGGATTTCAGAATATTTTAAATACTGGATATTCAACCTGGAATAGGTTGTAAACATTTCAGTTTTTCATAGGCTTTCTGTGAGAGCACTTCATTCAATCTTCAGGAAGCCAGAAATGAGAGCCCAGGGGACTAGTATCTCTTCTCTTCTAATATCATTGTGAATATCATCTATATAATTCTGTATTTAGCAAAACTCAGATTCTTAGGCCCCTTCTACACTGCCACATAATCCAGATTATCAAAGCAGAGAATCCACATGATCTACCAGATAATGCACTTCAAAGCAGATAATCTGGATTGTATATGGCAGTGTAGAAGGGGCCTTAGTTCGGCAGGAAAGTTACATCTAAGTACAGCAAACATATTATCTTCTATATACTTCAGATTTCTCTGTTCCCTTTCAAACTAGCTGAAACCCTCAGAGTAACTAGAGTATGGAGTATGGAAAATGGGTCTTTGCCCCAGAAACATTAAAATATTGAGAAGACAATATAGATTAGCCTTGAAAAATACCTAATTCTAGTACAAATGAAAACTACTAGAAGTGATTTGCTGATGTGAGATCAACATAGCAGCTTATATACTCTCCATGATAACATGAACTGTCACAATAAACCAAACTTCACATTGTACTACTACATCACTAACACAATGTCAACCTCCCTTTGTTACTTCATTCAAAAGTCTAACTTCATCACCATTGATGCAAATAAATATGTTAGCCTATTGTGCACAATTAACATGACACACAAGGCCCACACATCCAATTTTTGACCCCAAGAACCTTTTTGGATGATTTATATATTCAGCACATATCTTCAAAGGAAAAACTACATCACTAACTGAAAAACAATGGAAGAAAATGAAAGTGGAGAGAAATATGCCTAACTGAGGCCACTATGCAAAAACATCAACTCTTTTGGTTACTGAGAGCTGTGTCTTAATTGAGGCTGACAAGTCCGGATGGCAAACTACTTTAGTGTCACACAAAGCAATGTGCTGATCTGCATTGTGGTCCAAGTTGTCACTTAAAATAAGAATTATATGAACAAAGGCCACTGTACCACATCAAGAGAACTCACATTAAAGCAAATTTCAAAGGACATAAAATCACTGAATGGTGACCAAACATAAACGAAGATTAATTTTAAGAATGCCTTCACATCTGGACACCATGAGGACAATAAGACATGTGATCACTGATGCAAGAAGGTTAATGAATGGAATGAAGGTGGGGGAGCATGGAACAGACTTCTGAAAATGTGGGGCGTACTTTAAGGACTGATCACATAAAGAAAGAAATGTGGTGAAACCACACACATACTGGGAGAGGAAGTGGTAATGGACAAATGTATCATGAAAAAGCCATAAACACACACTCTTTCTTTCAATTACACACACCCACAATTATACAAAAATATATGGAAATATTAGAAACTTTAACATTTCTAAAAGCCCATGGGATGACTAAGAGTAATAAGAGGGGAAAAGAAAGAGATGCAGATGAAGAAGATTAAATAACTTTCTTTCAAAATGCTAGGTACCATTTTTAGTTTTCAATCTGGCTAAGAGTTAACCACAGCCACACCCATCACCAGGCACACAATCAACTTCAGCACTTATTATCCTAACACTTTTTTTGACAAAACTATCTTCAACTTAGCTTTTTTGCTTCAGAGAGCAATAGAAAGAGAAATTAATATACTCCCCCTGCTGGCAGTTCAGTAATATTGCACAAATGTGTGCTATTGCTGCAGTATGCAACAAAGGCATCTTAACTCAAACACTGTGGAATCCTGACTAATTTTGGATGTTCAATTAAAACTAGCTAAACATAAAAGGCAGCATACAGGAGAGATGGAAGGGTCTTTCATGTTTACCATGCTATTACAAGGCTGTAAAAACTGACTAGGTTTTCTTTCACAGTTAGACAATTCAAAACACATCTTACACCAATGCTACAACATCACCACTACAATCTGAAATTCTTGAAAACTCAGGCTATTTCATTCAATCTTATTTATCAGTATTGCAATAGGAAGTCTTGGCCTACTTTTGGCTAATAAGACAGTCAAGTCAATTAGGACTGTTGTTGCTGTGTGTCTCTAGGGCGACCCTAAGTCTAAAGTTTACAGTGAGGATAGGTAAATTATTTTGGATGGCCACATCCAGCTCAAGGGCCTTAGTTTATGAACCCATGGATTTAAGGCATACTTCACCACAGAATTAGAATCAGTAACAGCTGATAGAAGAGCATTTCAGGGAACAACTCAGTTCATTTTACTGATTAGCCCATCGGCCGTATCAAAACACTTAATGAACACACTTGACACGTGCTCATAAGAATACAACCCACATTACAACCAAAGTTAAAATAAACAAGCTGTTAACTAGGGGTCAAGATCCAGATTAAATATCACCCCTACAAT